CAGTCGTTGAATATACATTATTGTTGAAATAAACGCTTTTAACGATCATTGTCTATGAAATTCTATGTTTTATTGTTAGTTAATATCGATAAGTCTTCCTCTGCTGGTGGCATTGTGTTAAATTGCTACACGAAGCGAATAATCACTGATACTGCTGTACTTAGCTATATCAAAATTATAGTAACCCGAGCCACAAGATACACTGTGATTAGCTATTATAAAATTAAAGGTTTTTTAAATCATGAGACAACTATTCTTTACTTTTTTTATGATTTCTTAGTCTCCTTCAAATTGTTAAATTATATTGAGTTAAGTTCACATGATTTGCGATACTTATTGTCTATTTTCTGATGAGCATGTTACGTTAGTATCAAATGACAGTACAACAACAAGAAGGACGGATAAGTAAAGTTCGTTGCTCATTTGCGGGTTAAAGACTGAGCATGTCTAGACATAAAAAGCTGGAGAGAAAGCCTGGGCAAGCCGACACTTTTCGTAAACAATGAAAAAGGAATAATACATAGACAGGAAATTGTTTCTAAAGAGAGACAAAATTACAGAAAAGTGACTTTAGAGAGAGATTTATAGTATTCACGCATATTATTAAAAATATTATATTGTTAATAATTATATATTTATCGCACACGTAAGGTCGCAAGGACCCTTTTATATAGCGCTAAGAGAGCTTTGTTACCTAAAGTATGAGAATTCGTCAGTTTAAAACTAAACACGCTGCAGCACAAGTATTAATGCAATTCAACCGTCATTTCCAAATCAGCTCACCACACTCTAGAAAACCACTCACCCTTGTCACTTCCATTAGCCACTTATCATGGAACACCAGGAATATAGGTCTAGAATATGGCCCATTAAACTAATCACAGTTCTCGCGGTGGATGATCACGCTGCCAAGCGCGTCATGCCTTGCACCTTCACTTCAAGGTCATACTTTAAGACTCTACTCTTTTCATTTAAGTTAGGTACAATTTTCACGATAGAACGTCTATCAGAGTCCAATGCACACACGCACTCATACTATCTTGCAGTGTAAGGCTTACTTAAATCGCAGATAACTGTACTTCCTTGCAGAGAGTTTGCGTTGATCGATCTTGAAAAAAGCGTGCGTTACCCACTAAAATTTTCTAATCTTCTAAACTACGCCAAAATACTACTGGACTAATTCTCTAGCTACGCTTGCCAGAATCACTTCGCCTAAAACTTTTGACCTTACCTCAGAAATTTGAGTATGTAGGTCTAATTTTCCAAAGGTATTTTGATCCAATACTCTTACACCAATAAAAGTTACTAGGATTATTTGAAACAAATATTCCTTAAAATTGTTGAGGAGCGCGCAGTGGCTCAGTCGGCTAGGTCGTGGGTCGGCATGCGGGAGACCGTGGTTCGATTCTCGGTCGGTGCGACTTTTCAGGCAAGTCTCTCTGTGATTTTTAACATGTGCTTTTTCATCACGCAATGCTCCTCAAGAAGGGTTTTTAGGGCTACCTTCTCGTAGCAAAATTGCCTAATTTCCCCCTTCCCCCCCCTCCCAGTAATGGGAGGCCTCCCATTCCTTTCCTTGCCCCTTTCCCAAATGCTAAGTGCCCATAGTAGTGCCCTTATTAAAGGAGCCAGACGTAAAGTACTATAATATAGAAAAAAAAATGTTGAGAAACCGATCTCCTTGAAAGATACGATAAAGAATGCATCTGGTGACCCATTCTGATTAAACTTTGATTTAGGTTTTCTAATAAGCATTTTTATATTGCGATTTATATGATAGATTTTAATACATACACGATAAAAAAGAAGAGTATAGGTACATGGATGCTCTAATATATTCACAAATCTTGTGGTAGCGAACAATCCTTATCCTATACTTGAAACCTAACAACGGCAATCCCACGTGATCTTCAAAAACGTGATTGTTTTTTGTATTTTTGAAACCTAAACTAATATTAGACAATTATATGCGTTACTAAATAGCTTACAAACAGTAGAAAAGCACAAATAGGTAACAGTTGCTTTTTAAAAAACTGTGTAACAAGCTTACTATCATCGTTCAACTGGCTCAATGACATAGCTTCGAAAGGTCTTTCGCAACTGTGTTAACTTCTGTATTAAATAGATAATTCATTTTTTAAACCTATTACCATACACATATGCTATTTTTATTGCTTTGTTATTCTTTTGAGTATAACTTAATAACCCTTTGTTTATCTATTTCTCAACAGTGCCACCAAAAAAAGAGGTAACACTTAAGCGAAAGTGTTCAGTATGGCAAGACAAGTCAGCCATACCTGTAAAACGGGCTAGAACTTGTAATACAAAGCAAGAGATATTGCAGATGGAGGGTACGTAAATTCTAGTTTTTTCGCACATTTTAAACCATTTCTATAAAAATCGATAAAAATCTAGTACTCCCCAGATAATGATAATTCACATTTTGTAGATCCAGTAGCTAAGGCGATACGCCGACAAGGGAGCACCAGTGGTGCTACCCTTACATGTGGCCAAGGGGACACTGGCCAGCTGGGACTAGGAGAGGAAGTCTTAGAAAAAACAAGATTCACGGAAGTCTCGAAATTAAAAGATGTTATTTCCGTAGCTGGTGGAGGAATGCACAACATAATCCTCACCAATGATGGTTGCGTTGCAACCTTTGGTTGTAACGACGAGGGGGCATTGGGAAGAGACATTACAGAGTGTGGAGAAGCTACCCCAGGATTTGTAGAGTTGCCTGCGCGGGCTATACAAGTAACCGCGGGTGATTCACACAGTGCCGCTCTTCTTGAAGATGGGAGGGTTTATTGTTGGGGAGCATTTCGGGTAAGCGAAAGCTTGTTAATTTATGATGAAAAAAACTAAGAATTAATCATTCAGGTAGCAGTAATAAGCATTCTAATAAATTGTCACATGATTTCACTTTGTAGGATTCACACGGAACTTTAGGATTAATCAATAGAAAAAAAGAAGAGACTCCAATTGAAATTCTACATAACACAAAATTTTTGAAAATAGCGTCTGGGTCAGATCATATTGTTCTCCTGGATATCACTGGGACAGTATTTACGTTTGGATGTGCCGAGCAGGGCCAGCTCGGCAGAGTTTCGGTAAGAAAACTAGACCGACATAGTAGACGGGGAAAGGACCAACTTCTCACCCCAGAGAAAGTCTACTTTCACATAAAAAAAAATATCATTATTAGAAATATTTGGGCTGGTAGCTTTTCCACGTTCGCTGAAGCAGGGAATGGTGACCTGTATGTTAGTGGGCTTAACAACTATAATCAGATCGGTATGTTAGTTTTTATAAGAAAATTTTTAAAATAAATGTTTGACCTAATTCGAATAACTTATTTTTCATTTAATTTTAGGTCTTAAAGGATGTGATAAAACCTTACATCCGAAGGTTTCGCACACATTCAGCAGACACAGATGGATGCAAATTAGCTCAGGTCAGCATCACACAGTTGCTGTGAACGATCAAGGACAAGTTTATACAATCGGGCGTAAGGAATACGGAAGATTAGGCCTTGGAAGCCTATGCGAGGATGCTCAGGAGCTGATTCCAGTGCCCAAGCTGGAAAACTTAAAGTGTATTGACGTGGCAGCTGGTACTGCACAGTCGTTTGCCGTCACAAATACTGGTAAGTCTCATTATAGTATGCGAAATAAAAATTAATGTCTACAACATACGATAACGAATTAATCTCGACAATTTTTTCAGGAACACTCTATGCCTGGGGCATGGGCTCGGAAGGTCAGTTGGGAACTGGTAAAGAGGAAGATATATACGAGCCTGAATTAATCAATTCAAAACACGTCAAAGATGCAATCGTCCTCCAGGTATCTGGAGGAGGGCAGCACACGATAATTTTAGTAAAAAAACCACATTCTTCGTTAATATAATGGTATGCTGCCCTCCATCTGATATCTGAAGAAACTTGTTACACTAGAATATGTATAACAATGAATTTAAGTTTTCTGTTAGTAATAGTGTAAGATTTCAGTGATTAGTCACATCGAGGTGTTAAGGTATGATTTTATTATGTTTTATTGTTGTAAATATATCTGTGTAAGTTTAACTATTTTAAACTTACTCTCTCACAACTATTTTGTCGTGTAGGGTTTTGAGTCAAAATCAAGACGCATCCTTCCTGGTTTATTTATGTTAGTCACACTGAAGTGTGGGACATTTTTATTGTTTTATATGTTTTTCTGAAGTGGAAAACAATTACTGCGATGAATGTGACAGAGACGAGAACTCAAACTATTTTATCGAGATCCCTATATTACATCAATTAGCTTCCATGTTTAAAAGAGACGGTTTCACGGAACTTTTGAATTATCGATTCATGCGCGTTAAAAAAAGTCAAAATAACTATAAAGATATTTACGATGGTTCTATTTACAAGTCTTTGCCTCAAAATTATACGCAAAATCGTAATAATATTACTTTTTCATGGAACTCAGATGGAGTATCTTTGTTTAAATCGTCGAAAATGAGTATTTGGCCATTTTATTTAACAATAAATGAATTATCTCCGGAAAGAAGATTTAAAAAAGAAAATTGTATCTTAGCAGGTTTATGGTTTGGTGAAACAAAACCAAACGTAAACATATTTTTATCAGTTTTTGAAAATGATTTAGAAAAATTATACGTGGGTGTTTATTTTGAAAATCCAAATGATTATTAGTGGAACTTGTGATCTTCCAGCTAAAGCTTTATTTATGAATATTCAGCAATACAATGGAAGAAACGACTGTCCTAATTGTGAAATCGAAACAAAAAGAATCGATAATCACCAAATGTACCCGTTTCTCGATCGTGGCAGTATAAGGACAACAGAAAAAACAAAAACTTATGCTAAACAAGCTATTGAAACGAATACTCCTTTTCTTGGTGTAAAGGGCTTTTCTCCATTAAGTTTAAAGTACTAAATTATGTCGAGGTGACCGCTATTGATTATATGCATTGTGTTAATCTTAGAATTATGAAAAAGCTCATATCATTTTGGTTCGACACAGATAACTGTATTTATCCTTCCTCACTGCTTCCTTATATTAATATCATTAATAATAGATTGAAAAGTATAGCTCCTCCTTCATTTATCGACAGATTGCCAAGAAAAGTTTCTGATTATACGTATTGGAAAGCCTATGAGTTAAAACTTTTTTTGTATATTTATAGTTTACCAATTTTAAAAGATATCATGGACAAAAGATATTTTGAGCATCACAAACTCTTAGTTCATGCACTAACTCTTTTAAATTTTTTAAGCACTGATGACGAAATGATTGAGTTATCGAGGCGTTTATTGTTCGAGTATGTAAAAAGGTATGAAGTTTTATATGGCAAAAAGTATATGGTTTGTAATTTACATCTTCTACTTCACTTACCTGATGATGTAAAAAAATTTGGTCCACTCTGGGTAATGTCATGCTCAAAATATGAAAATTTTAATGGAGATATTAAACAATACGTACACGGTTCCAATAATCCACAATTACAAATTTGTTCAGCCGTTAAAACATTTTTATGTTTTACTGAAATCAAAGAAAAATTAATCAGAGACGAAAGTGTGGTCTACTTTTTTTGTGATAAAATAGAAAAATTAGGTACTCACAGACGAAAATTAAAAACAATCGGTAAAAAAACTTTTATAGTCGGTATTAATAAAAAATATAAATACTCACCAGATTTAATAAATATATTTCGTAACAATAACATGAATCTCNAAGATATTCCATTAAATGTAATCAAGAATAAATAGTCTCGTATACAGACCACGATAAAATTTTTTGTGATTCGATTCGAAAAAATTGTCTGTCAAAATGTTTTGAAATTTTGTGAGGTGATTCAACTAGAATTTAAGTGTGATTCCTGCAAGTTTTATACATACATAAACTATTTCGATTTTGCAATACGTCAATTTTACGATGTTAATGTAAGATTCAAAAAAAAAGTTTTGAAACGATTCAACGTCTTACTTGATAATTAAGTTTTACAGATTAAAATTATTCCCTTTTACTAACTTTCAAGTAATAATTTTTAAATGTATAAGACTTGGAATAAGTATTATGCATTCTTAATAAATAGTTTCCAGTCATTTGAATATATAAGTTAAACATATTAATCATTAGTATTAAGATTCTATTGAAAATGTGAAATCTTACTCGTAAAAAATAGATACTTTGTATGAGTTATTTACATCTGTAAAAATGTTTACAAAAAACGTTCAGTCTATTAAAAAAATGAAGAAGACACTGTAATAACGGTCGTTAATAGACCAGACATCTGATAACAGAGTTTTCGGTTTTTTCTATTTTATAAATATTTTTCAATGTCACATGTTTTAATTAATCATTTACTAATAAAACTTTTTCTTTTTATTGAATGTGATTGGTTTTTCAAATTTCAATTATTTTAGGAACAATTTGAGTAAATAAGTAAGAGCTTGACCCATATGAAGTACTTTTTGTTTGTTTGTTTGTTGATAACAGTTGTTAGTTCATTTTTTTACGTCTTTTAATGTAATATCCAAAAATGACTTCCTTATTATACCAATATTCTTGAAATAGTGGTGTACAATCGGGTCTTTGTCTTCTAATTTAAACTCATTTTTCTTCAATTCACTGAAATCTACTGAAACATCTTTTTTCGTAAATAGCTGTCATCGTTTTGCCCGATTGAGCACCTCGATCAGTGTAAATGTAGGGTACAGTTATATAACTTGTAAGCAAAATAGCGAACTCTGAAAAACAATATTCAGTTTAGCATTTTTTTCTTCGTTATGTAACAATAGTTTTCGTCATTTAACTGTCTCCTGCTTTCATGTGAGAACACATATCAAATTTATTTTAATCCCTTACCGTCTCTTATGGAAGATTTACTTATTTTATCTTAAGAAAAAGTCAAGGTACTTCAGAAGATATTTCTATTTAACATTATGGCTTACAATTTCTATTGTTCTTGAACAAATTATTTTAAAGCGTGAAAGTGACAATATCTACTGAAAATAAGCTATAGTCTCAAAGTAAATAATACATTATTTATCAAGTTGTACATGAAGAATACCATGCATATTGTAACAAATGTCTGGATACCAAAAAATCCTAAAGAAAATTAGTCAAAAAGTAAAAAGTGGTATAATTTAGATCATTAATTGTCAAGATTTCGTGTACATTGTCTAGCAATATGCAGACAATCAAAAATTTATTAGATTTAGTAGTAGGTACCTACACAACACGGTGATGGTTGCTCGTAGCTGTTATCAATACTACGTAGAAATGACTGCTGTAGCATAAAATTAAGATAGAAAAGTTCAACCAATGTTGACGTTTAAAATAAAAACAAAAACTTAAATAAATTTGATGTGCTCTGCTGATTCTGTGCTCAGGCTCTACCTCACGCTGCACAAATGTAGGGATTGGCACTGAACAACCACTTCCTAAAAAAGTAAAAGAGAAATGTCCACAGCGTACTTTTTCTAACGTTTCCAGACGGTAGGGCCATCCTATATACGGCTTCTAATAAAACTGTATGGATTGTGAAAGGACTCTATATTTTTAAAGATCAATTACAAATCATAGTTTTTGTTAATAATCAAAGTTTTTGTGCACTATGACTTATAATATACATAATACATGATATCTTAAATGACGAAGTGAAAATACCTTATTGGATGTAAATACCTGATTTCAATTGTAATACAATACTTACATATCAGTGTGCCTGTTACAACATATTTCTCTTAAGTTCTTTATCCTACATATGCTGCGATCACTTTGAATAGTTATATAAAAATAAAAATAGTACCAACCACAAGATAAATTGTTAGTGACTTATTGAATAACACGGAATTTTACAAATCTTTGTACTCAACTTGCTTCAAATTTTCAAATAATTCCTGTGTGCCTTAAAATTGTTAAATTATATGACGTTCTGTTGGAACCATTTATTCTTCTTTTTAAGGTTTTCTTAGTTAAATAAACTTTTAGCATAACTCTACAGAACAATAGAAAAAAACGATATACGAAAAACTCGGATATTTGCAATACCGTTTGCCTAAGAAATTATACAGAAATTCAAGCACATAGGTGTAATTCTACTTGACTTTATCCCGTAATTTTCAATCGGATTGAAAATAAATAACATAACTTAAAACAAGAACTTTTTAAAATTATTGAGAATAAAATTTATTTGAGAAAAAAAAATGCACGTGGTGAGCCATGAATATTAAATTTTCATTCAGATTTTCTAACAAGGAATTTTATTTTACGATTCATACAACAAATTTTATTGTACACATGAGAAGAAACGAAAAGTCTAGACAAACAAATACTTAAACATATTTACAAATCATGTGGTAAGGAATTAAACTCACCCTATATTTGCAACTCAACAACGATAATCTCCCGTGTTCTTCAAAATTGTAATTGTTTTTTGTATTTTTTACACTTACATTGATATAAGACAGTATTATGCCTCAAAAGAGCTTACAATCAGTATAAAAAATTACAAGTAGGTTACAGTTGCTCTTTAAAAAACTATGTTATAAGTTTATTGTCATCGTTCAACTGGCTCAATGACATTGCTTCGAAAGGTCTTTTGCAATTGTGTAAACTTCTGTATTCACTAGATAATTTATTTTTTAAACCTATTACCATACACATATGCTACTTTTATTGCTTTATTATTCATTCGAGTATAACTGAATAACCCTTTGTTTATCTATTTCTCAACAGTGCCACCGAAAAAAAAGGTCACATTTAAACGAAAGTCTTCAGTACCGTAAGACAAGTCAGCCATACCCGTAAACCGGGCTAGGACTTGTAAAAAAAAGCAAGAAATATTAGAGATTAAGGGTACGTGAATTCTAGTTTTTTGCACATTTTGAACCATATCGTAGGATTTTTTTGTGGTTTCCATAATATCGTAGATGCAGTTTTTCACACAATTTTCTAGATCGTAATAATGTAAAAAGTTACAAGTTAATCAAACATTATAAGCCCATAAATCTGCCACGTAAAATTAATAACGAACAAAAATCGAGTACTCCCCAGATAATGATAATTCACATTTTGTAGATCCAGTAGCTAAAGCGATCCGCCGACAAGAGAGCACCAGTGGTGCTACCCTTACATGTGGTCAAAGGGACACTGGCCAGCTGGGACTAGGAGAGGAAGTTCTAGAAAAAACAAGATTCACGGAAGTCTCGAAATTAAAAGATGTTATTTCCGTGGCTGGTGGAGGAATGCACAACATAATCCTCACCAATGATAGTTGCGTTGCAACCTTTGGTTGTAACGACGAGGGGGAATTAGGAAGAGACATTACAGAGTGTGGAGAAGCTACCCCGGGATTTGTAGAGTTGCCTGCGCGGGCTATACAAGTAACCGCAGGTGATTCACACAGTGCCGCTCTCCTTGAAGATGGGAGGGTTGATTGTTGGGGAGCATTTCGGGTAAGCGAAAGCTTGTTTATTTATATTGAAAAAAACTAAGAATTAATCATTCAGGTAGCAGTAATAAGCATTGTAATAAATTGTCACATGATTTCACTTTGTAGGATTCACATGGAACTTTGGGGTTGATCACTAGAAAAAAAGAAGATACTCCAATTGAAATACTTCCAAACATAAAATTTTTGAAAATAGCATCTGGATCAGACCATATCGTGCTCCTGAATAACACTGGGACAGTGTTCACACTTGGATGTGCTGAGCAGGGCCAGCTCGGCAGAGTTTCAGTAAGAAAATTGGACCGACACAGTAGACGGGGAAAGTACCAACTCCTCACCCCAGAGCAAGTCTACTTCAACATAAAAAAAAATATCATTATTAGAAATATTTGGGCTGGTAGCTTTTATACGTTCACCAAAGCAGGAAATAGTGACCTGTATGTTAGCGAACTGAACAATTATAACCAGATCGGTATGTTAGTTTTTATAAGAAAAGTTTTAAAATAAATGTTTGACCTAATTCGAATAACTTATTTTTCATTTAATTTTAGGTCTTAAAGGATGTGATAAAACCTTACATCCGAAGGTTTCACACACATTCAGCAGACACAGATGGATGCAAATTAGCTCAGGTCAGCATCACACAGTTGCTGTGAACGATCAAGGACAAGTTTATACAATCGGGCGTAAGGAATACGGAAGATTAGGCCTTGGAAGCCTATGCGAGGATGCTCAGGAGCTGATTCCAGTGCCCAAGCTGGAAAACTTAAAGTGTATTGACGTGGCAGCTGGTACTGCACAGTCGTTTGCCGTCACAAATACTGGTAAGTCTCATTATAGTATGCGAAATAAAAATTAATGTCTACAACATACGATAACGAATTAATCTCGACAATTTTTTCAGGAACACTCTATGCCTGGGGCATGGGCTCGGAAGGTCAGTTGGGAACTGGTAAAGAGGAAGATATATACGAGCCTGAATTAATCAATTCAAAACACGTCAAAGATGCAATCGTCCTCCAGGTATCTGGAGGAGGGCAGCACACGATAATTTTAGTAAAAAAACCACATTCTTCGTTAATATAATGGTATGCTGCCCTCCATCTGATATCTGAAGAAACTTGTTACACTAGAATATGTATAACAATGAATTTAAGTTTTCTGTTAGTAATAGTGTAAGATTTCAGTGATTAGTCACATCGAGGTGTTAAGGTATGATTTTATTATGTTTTATTGTTGTAAATATATCTGTGTAAGTTTAACTATTTTAAACTTACTCTCTCACAACTATTTTGTCGTGTAGGGTTTTGAGTCAAAATCAAGACGCATCCTTCCTGGTTTATTTATGTTAGTCACACTGAAGTGTGGGACATTTTTATTGTTTTATATGTTTTTCTGAAGTGGAAAACAATTACTGCGATGAATGTGACAGAGACGAGAACTCAAACTATTTTATCGAGATCCCTATATTACATCAATTAGCTTCCATGTTTAAAAGAGACGGTTTCACGGAACTTTTGAATTATCGATTCATGCGCGTTAAAAAAAGTCAAAATAACTATAAAGATATTTACGATGGTTCTATTTACAAGTCTTTGCCTCAAAATTATACGCAAAATCGTAATAATATTACTTTTTCATGGAACTCAGATGGAGTATCTTTGTTTAAATCGTCGAAAATGAGTATTTGGCCATTTTATTTAACAATAAATGAATTATCTCCGGAAAGAAGATTTAAAAAAGAAAATTGTATCTTAGCAGGTTTATGGTTTGGTGAAACAAAACCAAACGTAAACATATTTTTATCAGTTTTTGAAAATGATTTAGAAAAATTATACGTGGGTGTTTATTTTGAAAATCCAAATGATTATTAGTGGAACTTGTGATCTTCCAGCTAAAGCTTTATTTATGAATATTCAGCAATACAATGGAAGAAACGACTGTCCTAATTGTGAAATCGAAACAAAAAGAATCGATAATCACCAAATGTACCCGTTTCTCGATCGTGGCAGTATAAGGACAACAGAAAAAACAAAAACTTATGCTAAACAAGCTATTGAAACGAATACTCCTTTTCTTGGTGTAAAGGGCTTTTCTCCATTAAGTTTAAAGTACTAAATTATGTCGAGGTGACCGCTATTGATTATATGCATTGTGTTAATCTTAGAATTATGAAAAAGCTCATATCATTTTGGTTCGACACAGATAACTGTATTTATCCTTCCTCACTGCTTCCTTATATTAATATCATTAATAATAGATTGAAAAGTATAGCTCCTCCTTCATTTATCGACAGATTGCCAAGAAAAGTTTCTGATTATACGTATTGGAAAGCCTATGAGTTAAAACTTTTTTTGTATATTTATAGTTTACCAATTTTAAAAGATATCATGGACAAAAGATATTTTGAGCATCACAAACTCTTAGTTCATGCACTAACTCTTTTAAATTTTTTAAGCACTGATGACGAAATGATTGAGTTATCGAGGCGTTTATTGTTCGAGTATGTAAAAAGGTATGAAGTTTTATATGGCAAAAAGTATATGGTTTGTAATTTACATCTTCTACTTCACTTACCTGATGATGTAAAAAAATTTGGTCCACTCTGGGTAATGTCATGCTCAAAATATGAAAATTTTAATGGAGATATTAAACAATACGTACACGGTTCCAATAATCCACAATTACAAATTTGTTCAGCCGTTAAAACATTTTTATGTTTTACTGAAATCAAAGAAAAATTAATCAGAGACGAAAGTGTGGTCTACTTTTTTTGTGATAAAATAGAAAAATTAGGTACTCACAGACGAAAATTAAAAACAATCGGTGAAAAAACTTTTATAGTCGGTATTAATAAAAAATATAAATACTCACCAGATTTAATAAATATATTTCGTAACAATAACATGAATCTCAATTTATCCAAGTGTCACGTTTTTCAGAGGCTCTTAAAAAAAAGTATTTACTACGAATCACAAGAACACTCAATGAAAAAGAAGACAAACTCCTCTTATGTTCAATTCACAAAAAACAACATTGTAAAAATAGGTTCCATTCATGTTTCTTGCGAGTATGCGCATGTGCATGTATGTTTGATTGCGAGGATTGTAACAATGATTGTAAAAATTATGCTATTCTTGAAGAATGTACAGATACAAAACCATTTAAATGTGATATAATCAATGAACACATTCCAACGATTTCAATATGTAATAAGACAAATGATTTAATTTCAATCAGTGTAAACGATATTTTAAATGTATGTTATAATGTCAACGTTGATAATAATACTTATGTAATCATGTTATGTAATAATAAAGAAATCGAATGATAATATTTTGTTAAAATAAATTTCATTACAATAAAATATTATTTTGGCCAAGTTACACACAAAATATGCCATGAGCACGATTAAAAAAATTTTTTTTTGCCAAGTACAGCTCAAGCTGTGCCATGGACATGATATTATAAACAAAACAAAAAATTTGGCAAGTTCATAACAAGTTGCGCCATAAGCAAAATTTTGTACAGAAAAAAAATCGTCAAGTTTGACAAAAGTTATGCCATGGGCCCAATTACTTTTAAGTAAAATAAAAAAAAAAATGCCAAGTTCAGCAAAACTTATATCATGAGTGCAATAAATTATAAAAACCACGGCAATTTCGCATTGCACAAGTTTGGCTTGACTTGGCATCAATATACATGATTATAACTTTTCCAAGGGTGAAATTTTTTTACGCGGGAAGCTTATGTTTTAAAATGTTTATAATCTTATCTTTTGGTTTTTATATACATAACTTTGTACTGTACTTACAGTTTTCCAGTTTTATTTGTTTTTCTACTCTGTAGTCTATCATATCCTTGAGTCCTTGAGGTATTTAATTTGCTTACAAACTTGTCTAATTATTGAGGAAAACATTCTTTTATTATTCATAGAAAACCAGGTTTCACAAGTTACACATTTTTTATGCAAATATTTAACGGGTTGTAAAGAGATTTTATTAAACAATCAACGTCCATTTTTAACATACCACTTTCTTATCAGAAGTAGAACATGATGTCATATTAATTAGCAGTATAAATTCTTTTTCAATGTATTCAAACTTTAAACTCTAGATTTGGTGGAAACCTGTATCNGTGTACTATTGGGTCTTTGTCTTCTAATTTAAACTCATTTTTCTTCAATTCACTGAAATCTACTGAAACATCCTTTTTCGTAAACAGTTGTCATCGTTTTGCCCGATTGAGCACCCCGATCAGTGTAAATGTAGGGTACAGTTATATAACTTTTAAACAAAATAGCGAACTCTAAAAAACAATATTAAGTTTAGCATTTTTTCTTCGTTATGTAACAATGGTTTTCGTCATTTTACTGTCTCCTGCTTTTATGTGAGAAAACATATCAAATTTATTTTAATCCCTAACCGTCTCTTATGGAAGATTTACTTATTTTATCTTAAGAAAAAGTCAAGCTACTTCAGAAGATATTTCTATTTAACATTATGGCTTACAATTTTTATTGTTCTTGAACTAATTATTTCAAAGCGTGAAAGTGACAATATCTACTGAAAATAAGCTATAGTCTCAAAGTAAATAATACATTATTCATCAAGTTGTACATGAAGAATACCTTGCATATTGTAACAAATGTCTGGCTACCAAAAAATCCTAAAGAAAATTAGTCAAAAAGTGAAAAGTGGTATAATTTAGATCATCAATTGTCAAGATTTCGTGTACATTGTCTAGCCATTTGCAGACAATCAAAAATTTATTCGATGTAGTAGTAGGTACATACACAACACGGTGATGGTTGCTCGTAGCTGTTATCGATACTACGTAGAAATATACATAATACATGATATCTTAAATGACGAAGTAAAAATACCTTATTGGGTGTAAATACCTGATTTCAATTGTAATACAATACTTACATATCAGTGTGCCTGTTACAACATATTACACTTAAGTTCTTTATCCTACATATGCTGCGATCACTTTGGCTAGTTATTTAAAAATAAAAATAGTACCAACCACAAGATAAATTGTTAGTGACTTATTGAATAACACGGAATTTTACAAATCTTTGTACTCAACTTGCTTCAAATTTTCAAATAATTCCTGTGTGCCTTAAAATTGTTAAATTATATGACGTTCTGTTGGAACCATTTATTCTTCTTTTTGAGGTTTTCTTAGTTAAATAAACTTTTAGCATAACTCTACAGAACAATAGAAAAAAACGATATACGAAAAACTCGGATATTTGCAATACCGTTTGCCTAAGAAATTATACAGAAATTCAAGCACATAGGTGAAATTCTACTTGATTTAATCCCGTAATTTTCACTTGGATTGAAAATAATTAACATAACTTAAAACAAGAATTTTTTAAAATTGTTGAGAATAAAATCTATTTGAGAGAAAAAATAAAAAATGCATGTGGTGAGCCATAAATATTAAATTTTCATTCAGATTTTCTAACAAGGAATTTTATTTTACGATTCATACAACGAATTTTATTGTACACATGAAAAGAAACAAAAAGTCTAGACAAACAAATACTTAAACATATTTACAAATCATGTGGTAAGGAATTATACTCACCCTATATTTGCAACTCAACAACGATAATCTCCCACGTTCTTCAAAATTGTAATTGTTTTTTGTATTTTTTACACTTACATTGATATAAGACAGTATTATGCCTCAAAAGAGCTTACAATCAGTATAAAAAATTACAAGTAGGTTACAGTTGCTCTTTAAAAAACTATGTTATAAGTTTATTGTCATCGTTCAACTGGCTCAATGACATTGCTTCGAAAGGTCTTTTGCAATTGTGTAAACTTCTGTATTCACTAGATAATTTATTTTTTAAACCTATTACCATACACATATGCTACTTTTATTGCTTTATTATTCATTCGAGTATAACTGAATAACCCTTTGTTTATCTATTTCTCAACAGTGCCACCGAAAAAAAAGGTCACATTTAAACGAAAGTCTTCAGTACCGTAAGACAAGTCAGCCATACCCGTAAACCGGGCTAGGACTTGTAAAAAAAAGCAAGAAATATTAGAGATTAAGGGTACGTGAATTCTAGTTTTTTGCACATTTTGAACCATATCGTAGGATTTTTTTGTGGTTTCCATAATATCGTAGATGCAGTTTTTCACACAATTTTCTAGATCGTAATAATGTAAAAAGTTACAAGTTAATCAAACATTATAAGCCCATAAATCTGCCACGTAAAATTAATAACGAACAAAAATCGAGTACTCCCCAGATAATGATAATTCACATTTTGTAGATCCAGTAGCTAAAGCGATCCGCCGACAAGAGAGCACCAGTGGTGCTACCCTTACATGTGGTCAAAGGGACACTGGCCAGCTGGGACTAGGAGAGGAAGTTCTAGAAAAAACAAGATTCACGGAAGTCTCGAAATTAAAAGATGTTATTTCCGTGGCTGGTGGAGGAATGCACAACATAATCCTCACCAATGATAGTTGCGTTGCAACCTTTGGTTGTAACGACGAGGGGGCATTAGGAAGAGACATTACAGAGTGTGGAGAAGCTACCCCGGGATTTGTAGAGTTGCCTGCGCGGGCTATACAAGTAACCGCGGGTGATTCACACAGTGCCGCTCTCCTTGAAGATGGGAGGGTTGATTGTTGGGGAGCATTTCGGGTAAGCGAAAGCTTGTTTATTTATATTAAAAAAAAATAAGAATTAATCATTCAGGTAGCAGTAATAAGCATTGTAATAAATTGTCACATGATTTCACTTTGTAGGATTCACATGGAACTTTGGGGTTGATCACTAGAAAAAAAGAAGATACTCCAATTGAAATACTTCCAAACATAAAATTTTTGAAAATAGCATCTGGATCAGACCATATCGTGCTCCTGAATAACACTGGGACAGTGTTCACACTTGAATGTGCTGAGCAGGGCCAGCTCGGCAGAGTTTCAAAAAGAAAATTGGACCGACACAGTAGACGGGAAAAGACCAACTTCTTTTCTCAGTCCAAGTTAATATTGAAACAAAAATGAATATTTAAAATATTTGGGCTGACAGCTATGCCACTTTCGCCGAAGCAGGAAATAGCGATCTGTACGTTTGCGGACTCAACAATTATAACCAGATCGGTATGTTAATTTCTATAATAAAATTTTTAGAATAAAAGTTTGATATAATTTGAATCACCCATTTTTCACTTAATTTTAGGTCTCAAAGGATGTGAAAAAACTTTATACCTTAAGATTTCGCACATGTTTAGTGGACACAAATGGATTCAAAGTAGCTCGAGGCAGCATTACACTATTACTGTAGATGAGAAGGGACAAGTGTACGTGATTGGAAGCAAAGAAAATGGGATAGTCAGACCTAGGTACTATCTTCGGCGACGCAACTGAACTTAGTGTTGTGCCAATGCTGGATGATGTAAACTGCGTAGACGTAGCTGGTATCGCGTTGTCTACTGCAGTTACTGATATAAGTAACTACTCAGAAGTTTTGACTAATGATAGTGTATAAAATAAAAATTAATGTCATAAAATAGACGACGATCAATGATCTTGACAATGCTTTTTTAGGAAAACTTCATGTCTGAAAAATGGGTTCAGAGGGACAACTTGGGACTGGGGAAGAAGAAAATGTCTTCAAACTCATTCTAATCAACTCCAAGTACGTAAAAGATCTAGAGGTCTTTAAAGTATCAGGCAAAGGATAACATGATTTCATTTTAGCAAAGAAAATCGATGAAGTACGAGATACTAAGAATTGAGATTCCTGTTAGATTTTTTTTTTAAATTAATTTTACTGCATTGAATAAAAATGCCAGGAGCCTAATTAATTTTTGTAAAAGTGAGTAAATTGTACTACTTTTTGTTAATACGTTAAAAACCTGTTATTCTCTAAGTGTTATTTGAAGTAATGCTAGTTTTAATGACTCAAGCTTAAATATTTTTGTCGTGTTTCACGTTGTCTGCTGTACAAGCTATCGTATAGTATGCGTGAAGCTAGCGATGGATTTTTTGCAATATTATTAAGACGAAACTGTAAGTAAATAAATGTGTACGAAAATAAGTTATTCCTATTTATCTAGATTTTATGATTGCTACACTTGTTATAGTTTTATTTATTTTTTAAAACGTTTTGTGTTGGAATTCATTATTATAACTGTAAGAATCGTCGTTTAAAAAGGAATAAAAATTACTGAATGAAAATATGGACGTTGATTTCTGAAGTTCTGAATCTTGTTTTTAAGGATTCTGTAGGTAATGGTGTAAGATTTCTATGATATGTGATTAGTTACAAAAAGGTGTTGAACTGTATCACGTCGAGTTTGACCACGTGCAATATAATTGTTTAGAATTTTATTATTTTATTATTTTTGTGTAAGTTTTATTTGTTTTGAGTGTACTCTTGCACAATTATTTTGTCATATAGAATTTTTCCATGTACAGCTTGTTTAATACTTTCTGTGCACAACACATATAAAGAGTTTTCGTATATTCATTAGCTTTTTAACAAAAAAATAATCGTCAATAAAATATAATTCAATCTTGATTGAGAAATTTGTTACCTTTACAAATCTAAAGTCAGTTCATAAACAGTATTTAGTTATAATAGTAAAAAAAGTTCAATTAAAAACAGTGATAAGCGCCGTACGTATCAAAAGAATATATGGTATCGCTAGAATCAATCTTTGATAAAGATTAAAACATCTGATTCCTGCAATTTTTTGCTTCAGTTACTTATTAAGTAAATGTTGAAGTAAACGGAAACGTTTTAAAATACAAATTATTTTTCATACAGAAACCCATAAGTTTAACTGCAGACGCTAATTTAATGCCAAGTGTAGTTGCAATATTTTGATAAATGTTTCAGATTACAGTTTTGATTTTACTGTATACCCCCAATGAAAATAACTCGTTGCATGGAAGCAGCTATAAAAATGAGCGTTTCTTTAAACTGTGGTATTTGAAATTTACTTATCAGGAGTTAGAAAATAAAGAAAAGAAGAAAATGAATACAACAATGAGTACTTCATTGCCTACGTTTGGCAACAGTATACTGCAATTAACATTTGGGTGTACAGACTATATACTATTCAGCGGCTTACTTGGCATCAGCCTTTTAGTAGGATTTTACTTTGGTTTTTTTAGCAAACAAGATAGTGCATCTAAATATTTGTTTGGTGGAAAACACATGTCGTACATTCCTGTCTTTACGAGTATTTTAGCAAGGTATTTTTTAGATCTTACATTATTTGATTTTTTGTTCTGTATTGACTACTGGTGGATATATATATTTTCTTAGCATCATTTTAGATTTTTGCCAAAAAAAGAATATGTGACTGTACCATTAAAAGACATTGTACCAAAAAAAGTCAAATTGTAAACATTAAAAAATCATCGCACTAAAAAATCATGAAACGAGTATGATTCATACTCTGGGTAAGATGTAACTATTTCTTAATTTTTTGTTCATTTACAACTTTTCTATTGGAGAACAACTAAACAAAACAAACTAATGTATAAAAAAAATATGTTAATCTATTAGTTGATATGTCCATTTTAATGGATACGAACTCATGTATTGTCTTCGAAATTCTACGTCTTCTTTTATACATATGTATACATGTACTTCGTACGGCTTCTTATTTGCTGCGTGCAAGCCATTAACTAAAAAAATATTAATAGAACCCGTGATGAGAAAAAAATTTCAGATTTGCCGCATTTTTGAGGACCTAATGCACTACATACACCGAATTTTTCTACCACTTTGAGTTATCAGACACTGTTATCATCGCGCACACAAGAAAAATAAAATGTCTTTTTCAATGTTATCCAAACTTGGACACTTTATTACAAAACTGATGACTTAGAGATGCTTATGGAATCAGTATTCAGAAACAATGACAGCAAAAGATTATTGGAAACGAAGGCTAAGCGTATATTTTTCTTTTTTTTTTCGTGTTTACGCCACGTCTCCATGGCTACTGTCTGCGAATGAAGCTTTTGCTCCCCTTACTCCATGCTTTTGTCTTACCCCCATGGTTTCGATCGTTGACAAAAATTCGAACAGCCCTGGACGAACCAATATTCGCCAGACATCTATGCCCACGAAGCAAACGTTTTTTGCTTTGATGAGACGCATCTTATACGCTTCTTGACCACCTTCTCCTCAATTTTACAGTGCATTTTAACGAGTAATTATAGAATGAGACAATTATTCCCATTGTAGAAAGAGATAAGTTTGGTAAGACTTTGAGGCCAGTAAAGGAGGAGCCTTATGAGCCCTTACACATGACTTGTTAAGTAGCATTCTCCCCTCGTATAAAACAATAGTTTTATACCTATGCAAATCACACAAATTTTCTCGCCGACCTTTAGTACTCCGTACATAGTTCTCACCATAACTAAGCGAGCTTGACCGTCTTTTTCTGGAAAACCTTTAGTTACTATACCTTTCCGCCACTGATTTTGTTCAAGATTTTTATGGAAGATGAAAATTATATTACCTTATTTTAATGAAGGCGTTGCATTTTACCACTTTCCACGAGGGATAAGGGTCGGAAGGCATTCTCTTAGCCAACGCTTCCAAAAATAATCCACATAGTATTGCGCTATTTTCCAATATTTATTTGCATATGAATGATGCGCACCGCAACGTCCGAATTGAAAATGATCCAGTGAAGCCTCAATTAAGAAATTATAAGGGGTCAAAGCTTCGTAATTTCTAGGAACTACTGAGACATGTGTTGATGGCCCGACATTTACATAGTGTTTGATCTCAACTGATACTGTTAATAATGCCACTTTTTAAACGCGCTGACCTTTAAAAATTACACTGAGGTCGGTTTTTACTGATCTTATTAATCTTTCTCATGCCCTTCCTATATGTGGTGCTCTTGGTAGATTGAATTGCCACTTTATTTCTCTCGATTCGGCAAACTTTTTTAATTTGATTCCCAGTTAATTCTTTATTGGTCTATTATTATTGGTCTATTATTATTCCTATTACTGGTCTGAGTTTATCCTTTCTGATATTAATTTTCGCTTAACAAGTTTATGTTTTAAAATGTTTATAATCTTATCTTTTGGTTTTCATATACATAACTTTGTACTATACTTATAGTTTTCCAGTTTTAATTGTTTTTCTACTCTGTAGTCTATCATATCATCGAGTCCTTGAGGTACTCAATTTGCTTACAAACTTGTCTAATTATTAAGGAAAACATTCTTTTATTATTCATAGAAAGCCAGGTTTCACAAGTTACACATTTTTTATGAAAATATTTAACGGGTTGTAAAGAGATTCCATTAAAGAATCAACGTCCATTTTTACCATACCAATTTCTTTTTAGACGTATAACATGATGTCATATTAATTAGCAGTATAAATTCTTTTTCAATGTATTCAAACTTTAAACTTTAGATTTGGTGGAAACCTGTAACTTCCGACCAGTTTATCTTTGCTATCTCATCTTTTTTATCATTTAAAAATTAATAAATAAATAATGAATTCTTGATTTTTATTTATCAGTGGTGAAAAAAAATTTGTTTGACCTCAACAGAATGTTTGTCCAAGAAGTAAGAAATCAAAGTTCTTCACCATTAAAAAACTGCCAAATTAATTAAATTTTTAGATTTTTGAAACCTAAATTAAAATACTACTTTAAAAAGGAGTTTTTTTATTACACTATACGATTCGATACAAAATTTTTTCAATTAAGGTATTTCAGATCTAACATATTTCATGATCTAACTTTTGTAACACATAATTAAAAATAAACCTTATCTTAGCAAAAAATTATTTTAAAAAATGACCACTTTATCGAAGAATGTAGGTGAAGAACACGGTATCTATAATGAAATTATATCTCAGTTCAAAATGAAACAAGTGAGAAATAATAATGGAGCCGAATGACTTGCAAAAAAATTCAGGTATTGAGTAGATATTTTTAAATATAAAATCAAGAATGGAAAATATTAATATCAGATTAAGTAATAAAGACACGGTCATACATGTAAGCATCTAGAGAGCCCAAAATAAATAGATGTAGATTTTAAAACAAACTTCTATACAATCATCGAAAAAGTTGAAAATAAATTTTTCTGCATACCCCCGCCGAAAGTGCTTCATATTAGCCCTGCTCCAAAACAGATAATCAGCTTTTTCGACGAGGATATGCAGAAAAATAGTACATGCATCACTTTCGAAGGTTAATAAATACTCTAGTTTTCACGTTATCCACGTTTATTTACGTAAAATCTGCGACATTCTTACCCTTGCTCACTAGGTGTGTAATATACTATTTACGTTTGTGGTTAAGTATAGCACTTTCATTCCTGGAATAACAAAGTGGTATTTTTAGTATTATAAAATCCAAGCAAAGTAAAATCTA